CCCCCCCCCCCCCCCCCCCCCGCCCCCTCCCCGACTCTATTCTTTGCCTGGGATGTTGCTCTTTGTGCTCACTGTCCTCTGGGAAGCTCTCCTGAGCATCGTCTCCATCCCTTTCTCTTTCCATCCCACTTCCTTCTGGCACTGTGAGGTGCTCACAAGCAAATGCCCAGATACTCCAGTCTGCCCAGCAGACTCTACCCACACTCCCAGCAGACAGCTCCCTCGCCAGCCTGCTGGCTTAGAGGTGTGCCGCTGGCCATGGGGTTCCCTCTCAGGAGGACAGATGTAGGCAGAGGCCATTTGGGCCTTGGAAGTGGACTTGGTAGTTTGGGGAGGGAATTCTAGAATATGGTAGCCAGGGCATGGTCTAGAAGGGAGCTGTGGGCTCCAGGTAGATTTCTGGCCCAGAGGGGAAGGAGATGGCCCTGGGGACGCGTGCATCTAAGGGTGGCAGTGAGTCTCCAGTGCCACCTGCAGGATTTCAGTGTTACATTTTATAAAGAAGTGGAGCAGTGCCATGTGTAGGAGGAGGTCTTCCTTGGAGGGGATGGTTCAGAGGGAAACATCTTCTGGTTTTCATAGATGGGGCCATTTCTCTCCTCTCTGCATGGCTGTTCCCCAAGGCCAAGGGTTTGGTCTGGACAGAAGGGTCACTTTCATTTCTTCCACCCCTCCAGCTGCACCCTCAGTGTCTGGAGGCCACCCACCAGGCCCTGTGCTCAAGGTCTCAGACCTAAGGGGCGAGAGGACAGGGGAAGGTGTGGCTGGTGGGTGAGCCCACCTCCATGGAGGAAGGCACCTTGGGCTGGTGCGTGTGGGCCTGGCTGGTCCTGCTTTCTCTACCAAGGGGCTTTCATTGTTAAAAGACAAGCTGAACTTGAGAAGCATTGATGTGCCAGAAGCCAAGGGCAGGAGATCTTGGTAAGCAGCTCCCCAAATACAGCTTGAACAGTGGCAGTTCCACAAGGCCAAGGCCTGTTCCCTACTGGGGCTGGGAGCTGGAGGCAGATGAGAGAACCTCAAGGAGGCCAAGACACAGTTTCCTTTGAAAGGTTTTCATTTATTAGTCTTTTCTGAAGCAGTTAATTCTCTTTTCTTATTTAAAAAGATATATGTTTCATCCAAAGTTATACCAAAGTGATTAAAATGCATTTTCTACTGGGGATATAGTTCCCCAGATCAGAAAAAAAAATTGTTTTTCAGTTAACCACAAAAGTAAACCAAAAGAGAGCATCAACAATCAAAAATAATCCTCCAATATCCAGGACAAAAAATAAAATATTTATTGATCTATCACAGCGAGACACAAAGAGATGGGCAGGGCAGGGGGAAATGCTCTGAAGTACAGTGGCTCGAGGGAGGGACGGGGGATACAGTACTGCGTGGGGGGACACCCAGGTTGGGGGAGTTTCCTGCCACCCCAGCTGGCACAGCCCCTCACACCCTGGGCTTGGGCCCGTGTGTAGGGGGGTGTGTGGTGGGGCGAAGGCAGGGCACAGGCTGCCATGACAGGTTAACCAGGTTGACGGTGGGGGTGCCCAGCCAGCTAGTGGTGCTGGGCCGTCAAGTGGGGACAAGGATGGATGGACGGATGGACAGATGGGCGGATGAATTCCACAAGAGCAAGAGGGCTATTCCCGATAGGAGTCTTCTGATACGAAGGTGTCCCAGACATGGGGAATAGTGATTGATGGGGGAGAGGGGAGCAAGGGAGCCAAGAGATAGTGTGACCGAATCCAGCTTGAGGCTTTCGATGCTTGGGTACCAACTGGACCGCAGCCAGAGGTGGGTCTTGGTGGGCAGGGGGAGGTGGGACTGCCCGGGAAATGTCCGCACCATCTTCAGAGGAGCCCCAGGGAGGGGGTTCCCCCGGGGCTGCCCTTCCCTCCTCCCTCCCCCAGGAAGATGAGAGCACCAGCATGTAGCACCAAGTTCCCCTGGAGATGGAGAGTGTGTGGAGGGGGAGCTCCTGGGTGGGAAGGGGATGGGGGCAGGAGGCTGAGCCCACCCACCCCTTGCCTCTGAAGTAGGGGGCCTCCCAGGGCCCACTTGGCCACCGCTCTCTTGTTTCCTTGCCCTGGGGATTTCCAAGTCCGCCTGGCCTGCCCTGTCCCCTCCCGGGGTGGGGACTTAGGAGGGGGCGTTGGGGGGGGTCACAAAGGGTTTACATTCTCCACCAAGCAGTAGCACCAACGTTGATGAGGTCGTGAGTCAGGGGTCCTGGGAAGCTCACTTTCTCTTCCGGCCACAGGCTTTCCCCAGGCAGGCTCCACCTGGGTTGGGGGGAGGCACACACCACAGTCAGTCTGGCCCCTCCTGTTGCTGCTCTGGCCCCTGCCTGCTCTGACCAGCTCCAAGCTGTTCTCGCACCCACATCATCACAGTGGGGAAGAGAGGGTCCCAGAAGCACCAGAAGCCTGGCCGTGACCCCAGGCCAAACTCTGAGCTGTTCCGTTGTAGAAACTCCCACCGGGCAGGTGGGTGGGAGCAGGGCCCGAGATATGGTGATGAAACCAAGTCTCAGAAAGGGCATGGGGCCAGGTCCCGAAGGGCCAGGCCTGGACAAGGTCTCCACACTCCGAGTCTACTGCATCTGGGCATTCTTTAGCGAGTGGCTCAGAGCAGCCCCCGTCAAGGGAAATGGGGTGAAGGGAGAGTTGACAGTGTCTGGAAGAGATAGCTGTCCTAGGAGAGACCTATAAACGTGAGTGGGCATCAGGCAAATAAACTGAGGCCCAGTGAGAGGGAGCGTCTTACACATCCACAATCTGTGGCTGAACTGGGACTCAAACCCAGGACTCCTGCCCTCGCCCTCTCTTGGGGACGGGCTAGTAAACCGTTTCCAATCAAGGCACCATTGTCTGCTGGTAGGGCCTGGTGCGGTTCCTACCCCTGCCAGCGCTAGATGTGGCTCACTACCGCCACCTGGTGGCAGCGAGCAGCCAAGTGGGTCAGGGATGGACGTCTCTCTGTGAAGCTGGTCCTGGGTGTTTGGAAAGCAGTGCCTCAGCATCAGGTGGGGGCTGACTGGGAGCTGGGCACCCTGGAAAGGGTCACTCTGGCCTCCCCTTTGCCTCTCCCCACCCTGGCCTCGGCTGCCTAACTTCTGTGGTGGGAAGTAGATGGGTGTGAAAGGGAATGCGCAGCCTGAGCAACCCCTGGTGGGGAGCTGGGGCTCTCTGGGTCTCCTCTGGGCGTCATTGGAGGGGCCTGCCCCACACACTCCCAGAGGCGAGTCTGTATCTTTGAGCAAGGGTGTGGCTCTGTGCCAGGTGGCAGGCTCTGCCCGCCCTGCCCAGCCCGGACACCTTGGGCCCCCAGCCCAGCCTTCAGATTTCTCTAACTCTAGGACTGCCATCATCTCCTCCATTCTCTCTCTTTCTCTGCCCCTCTGAGTTCTCTCCTCATCCCTTCTCTTTCCCTTTGCTCCTCCCTGCAGAAGATATGGACCCAGGCTAAGGCACTTGGGCAGGGAGAGCCAGGCCTGGCCTGGGTGAGCATGGAGGGTCCCGGGCCCTCTCCCAGCTCTGAGCATCTGTGTCAGAGGGAGAAGAAGGAATGGCAGGTGTCTAGCGGCCCCAGCCTCCCCATTCCCTGCTGGGCTGCCCCTCTCCCAGGCCCAGGCAAATGGGTCCCGTCCATCTGCCCCTGTCTTTGTCCCTCCCTCCCCCGCCCTCTTCCAAGGGTTGAATGTCTCCTCACCTGGGTATCCCAGGGCTCCCAGGGCCCCTCCGAAGGCCTTGGGAGGTTTGCCTGTGGAGGGAAGGTGGGGACTGGGGAGGGGCCAGGCTTTCCCACTGCCCCCAGTACATCCCGGCCCCCATCCTGTCACAGCAGGTTTCAAAGGCCTCCTTGCCTCCGCTGTCTGGCCTGACCCCTCCTGTCCAGCCATGCTCCTCACAGATCCATCCTGCCTGTGGAGGTCTGAGCAGCTCTGTGGGCACCCTCTCCCACCGGTCAGACCCCGGCCTTGCCTCCTGGCTGCAGCTCCAGCTAACGTGCCCCTGGCTTCAGCCTCCCTGACCACCTGCTTGAATGCACCTTGCTCTCCTCTTAGTTTCTTCCCTTTTCTGTGGGACCTTTTCAATCTCTCCACTTAGGCCCTAAGCCCGGGGGGGACCCAGCTCCTTGTCTCAATCCTGGTGCCCAGTCAAGAGCTAGGCTGGGAGCCCCAGGACTTGGGATCCTTTCCCCCTGTCCCCGCATCCCAGGGCTGAACTTCAGCCTTGTGATTCCCCTCAACCCCTGTGCCACAGGGCAGCCCAGGGCCCAGGCCGCAGTAGCCACTCCCTCAGCAGCTGTTAGGTGCCCTCTTCTTGCAGACTCACCACCAACTCCCAGGCCCCCGGCTCCGGCACCTGCAAGGCAAGGAGAGGGGCTGTGAGTGCACCCACTCCTGGGGAGCCTGCCACGCCCTCCTAGCAGCATGGGCCTCGCCTGAGAAGGCCAAGCTCTGGGCTTGGGGGTCGGGAGCCCTGGGCTCTGCCTCCCTAACTGTGTGGCCTTGGACAAGTGACTGGCAGCCTCTGCACCTCAGTTTGCCTCACCTGGAACCTGGCATTTTGGCAAAGCTGATGCTCCCTGGCCTTGCAAGGGAGGGAGAGAAGGATGAGGGGAGGCCCAGCCTCACATAATCTGAGGTCATGGGGCCCATCCCCGGGTCTTGGCTCAGCCCTTCCGAGCTGAGATGAAGCAGAGGAGGAGGAAGGCCTGGGCCAGAGCTCGGGGACAGGGCCCAGGGGCAGGGAGCCCGGGCATACCTGGGAAAATGGGAGACAATCCGAAGCCAGGTCTTGCTGCAACTCCTGCATGAGGGACTCTGGGTTGGCACGGGGCAGGCCCCACCTTGACTTCCTCACTCTTGCCTCTCTGCCCAGGACCACCTCCTTCCCCGCCCACCCCCACTTCCCCCATAGCCGGAGTGGCTTTCTTAACATGTCCCGCCTGGCATCCTGGTATGGGGCCCCGGAGCCTCGGCCTGTCAGCCTGGTGTCTGAGGCCCGTGGTGAGACCCCCGACCCTGAGGCCAGTCTCTTTTTCCAGGATGTTTCCTTTCCTGGACTGTCCCCTCCACCCTCTCTCTTGTGTCCTTGTGCTAGCTGAACTCCAGGATTCCCCCTGCTAGCCCAACAGGCTTCCTTGAGACCCGGGCACAGCTGAGGTTTTCACAGCAGAGATGGCCCCTACCTGCACCTGGGAATGGCCTGGTGACCCCTAGGACACCTCCAAGGCCAGCGGCACCTGTGAAGAGGGCAGATGGGGTGAGGACAAGGCACAGTTTAAGGGGCCCTGAGCATCCCCTCTGGGTTGTGGGGTCACGGACATCCCGGACAGACCTTCAGGGGGACTGGGAGCAGGACTGAGGCCTGGGCCAGGGGTCGGGGTGATCGGGACGAGGGGATAAGCAGCCTACAGGCCTGGCCAGAGGGAGGGCATCGGGGAGTGACTCACCATATTTGGCTGCTTTAGCAGCTGCAGCTGGAGACACACCTGTGGAGATGGGGAACAGGAAGGCTCAGGCTGTCACCTCCCTCCCAGCACCATGTTCCCTCCTGACCTGCTCGCCCACTTACCATCTGCCCACAGACTCATCCTTCCACCATCCCTCCACCCCTCCTCCACCCATCCAGCTTTCCAAAAGTCTTTATTAAGCTCCTACTGTGTGTCCAGTCCTGTGGAGCACACAGGAAGAGACTTGGGCCCATTTTCGGTATGGAGACACAGTGATGGCCCGAGAGGGTAGAATGTCAACACAAGGCCTGCCAGGATGGCGGAGAATTTGGGAAAGTAATTTCCCTTCAAGCTGTGGTTTTCTTGTCTGGAAAATGGGCATAACCATCGTCGTCCTAATGAACTCCCAGTTGAAGTGGGCGGGTGGGTTGAAAGAGAGAGGAGAGGGAGAGGACTGGGACGCCCAGTGGCAAGGGCCAGCCATGGCATCCGCTTGCTCAAGCCCCTCTCTAAACGCTGCAGGAGCCTGAAGAAGGGGTGGGGCCCAGGACAGCCTTGAGTTGCAGATGAAGTGGGGCTGGGGTCCAGGCAGAGAGGACAGCTTGAGCAAGGTGTGGCAAGGTGGGAAAGAAAGTCAGGCTCTCCCTCTCACTCTCTTTCTCTCTCTCTCTCTCTCTCTGACACACACGCATACACACAACTGCTGCACACACCGATTCCAGAGCAGCCCCTTACCTCCCAGGCCTGCAACCCCTGGGACAACACCAGCCCCAAGTCCTGCAACTCCCAGGTCCGGGACTCCGAGTCCCGCGGCTCCCCCGAGGCCTGCGGAAAGAGCTGTGTGTTAATGCCGCGCTGGTCTGTCGGTGGAGGGGTGGAGGGGTCATCCCAGGACCCAGGTGGAGCCTGAGCTCCCAGGGCCTTAGAGAGTGCAGTGGGGCCCCAAGTGGGCTGGGCCCTGGGGAGGTGACACCCTGGAGGGTCTGAGGGGCAGGTCAGGGAATACGTGCTCCACAGCACGTGGTCAGAGCTCCCCAAACCCTGGGGCCTTGGCAGCGGCCCCCCTCCACCCAGTGCTCACCAAACTGGGCAGCTTTGGCAGCAGCTTTGGCGGCAGCAGGTCCGGCTCCTGGAGACACAGAGAGTGCTCGGGACGGACTCTCCACTGGTCAGTCTCCCTCCTCGCCCAGCCCGTCCTGGGGTTTCAACGTACCTGCCAGACCGCCCGGGACCCCTACTCCGGCAAGAGCCCCAGCATCTCCGAGGGCCCCGACCCCTGCTGGTGCTGTGGAGAGAGGAGAGGATGGAAAGACCCCATTTCTGGAGGATGGGGTCTTTCTGCCCCAGGGACACAGGGCAAATAGACAGGTGGCCGAGGCCACTGACCCAATGCAAGGAGGTCTGAGTCTCAACTGAGTCTGAGTCCTGACTCTGCCCTGACCAATGGGGCCCCCTTGAGTCCTGGCCTGCCCATCTCCTCTCCTTCCCTGTGGGCGAGACTGGGAGCCGCAGGTGGCCACAGTGGAGGCTGCAAGCTGCTCAGGTTGGAGGACTCATCTTGCGTTCTGATGGCCCTGGGTTCAGGTCCTGGTTTCTCCACTTGTTACAGCTGTGGCCTCTGACCCCCAGAGCCCCATCTCCCCAAAGGGGATGATGATCCTGACCCCCCCCCCCCCAAACCTACAGGTCTGTGAGGAGTAAAAGGACCCGCCCTCTGTGACCATCACTGAGCTCTGAACCACGGTCTGGTCCAGAGCTGCCAGGAGCAGCAGCAGGAGTCACAGCTAATGCCTTCTGGAACCTCAGTGTGCAGTTCTCCACACGCCCTAGCCTGCCCATCACTCGTTGCAACAGGAAAGGTAGGTGCTATTATCATCCCCGTTTTGCAGATGAGAAAATTGAGGCACAGCAGAGGTTAACAATGTGCCCGAGGTTCCATGGGCAGGAAATGGCTCCGGAGCCGGCACCTTTAACTGCTTTGTTTCCCTGGCAACATCTGTCAGACTCAGGCCGGCAGAGCAGCCAGCAAGGAACAGGAGAGGGGCCCATGGGTCACCGGCCTGCCAGGGGTGGGGGCTCAGGAAGCTGGGATTTTCCGAGTGGAAACTGGCTGCAAGTGGACCGGCCAGGGCTGGTTGGCGGTTCCCTGGCCGAGGCCCCGGCTCAGCTCCCGGGGGGCCAGGAATTTGGGGGCCACAGACAGTGTGGGTCTGGCCAGGCAGCTGCCTGAGCGCCAAGTGCAGGGGCAGGCCGTTCTGCCACTTCCTCATGGCTCATGGCGGGTGCAGCCATGCAGACAGGTAGGCGGGCAGGGGGCTGGGGCCCCAGGCCAGCAGTCACCAGTCTGCTGGTGAGGAGGCAGAAGCCACCCACTGACAGCAGCCTTGGCCGCTCCCTGGCCTCGGGTCCCTTGAAACTGCCAGAGCCAGAGGGGCCTTAGGGAACGTGGTGGCACTGCCCCCAGGTGGGCTGGAAATACGAGGGATGTTTTGGTTGTCCCAGGCTGCAGGCGTGCTAGGCATTTGGTGGGCCGGAGCCAGCTCTGCTAAACTGTCACTATGAACTAGAAACTGCCTTTTTCCATCCTGACCACCCCAGCCCTGTGCTGCAGGCTCCAGGGCTGGTGAGGCAGCAAGGGAACCAACCATGGGGGCCAGTGTGTGGGGCACACTCACCATATTTGGCTGCTTTAGCTGCGGCCAGGGGTCCAGGTACTAGGGAAAAGGGAAAAGTGGGGTGGTCAGCAGCTGAGCTCTGTACCTGGGGATTCTGCTTCCTCCAGGGAGCCCTCCCTGACTTCCTTGGCATTCTTTACTCCTCTCAAAGCCCAGAAGCTGTGGTTGCCCAGCCAGGAGCTCACCCGGCCAGGTAGAGAGCTCCAGTATCTAACTATGCCTCTGCCACTCTGATCTGGGGGTGCTTGAGGGCTGAACTGTGGCTGCTCCTTCCATCTGTCCTCTCTTGTCCCTTCCAGGCCTAGTGTGCTCTGCCTGAAGCGGGCCAGAGAGCAGGCTCAGTAACCACTGGGTGAAGAGCTGGAACTCCTGGTGGCCCCCTTGCCACAGTGTACTGCTGAAGGGGAGCCAGGCTGGCCCACCCATGCCTACTGACCCCAGGGACCTCCGCCTTCTTCCCTGGGTGGTGGGCCTCTTCTCAGTTTGAAGCCCTGTCACCCCTCCACTGAGGAGGTAGAAACCCTGAAATCTGGCAGCCTGGGGCCCCCTTCGCCTGGCCTGCCCTCCGTCTGTGACCTCAGTTGTCTCTAACTGCCCAGGAGAACCTAATGGGGAAGGTACCGTGCCCCTGAGGGAGGGTGCTGGGGGATGTGCGGGGAGGAGAGGAGGTCTCCCTCCTCTGAGCTCAGGGGCATTCCTGCCCATCTCCTAGAAGGCCCCTCACCTGCACCTGCCCCAAGGCCAGGAACACCAACACCAACTCCAAGTCCGGGAACAGCAGCACCAACTCCGAGTCCAGGAACACCGGCAGGAAGCCCGGCCCCGGCCCCTGGGGGAGACGGGCAGTGGGCTGGTGGCAGCAGGCAGGGAGCATGCCCCTGTGGGGGTGTCCTGCCTAGCGAGCTGACTCAGGCCCCGAGGGAAGGGGCCCAGACCCACACAGGGGCCTCCTCGCCTTCATCTGCCCCCTGTGATGCCACCAGAATTGTCTTCCTAGGACTCCCACTGACTACCGAGTCCAGCCCCTCCCTGGGCTGGCACTCAGGGCTGCACACTGGACATCACTGCTGTTTTCAGCCTAACCTCCCGCTCTTCCCTCTTGAATGAGCTCACTTAATCCTCCTAACCACATTCTGTGGCAGGTGCCGTCCGCACCCACACATCACACATGAGGACCGGAAACTCAGAGGTGGCTCAGCTGGTATGGGGCCCGGGACTTGAACCCGGGTATCCTTCATACCTGGTCTGCACTTGCAACCCCTCTGCCTGCTGCCTTGGGGATCTGAGGAGGCTGTGGGGCGGGTCAGAGGGGCTGCATGTCCTGGGGTTCAGCTCAGGCCTGGGTCAACCAGCCTGGGCTCGGGGTGGGGGCAGGTCGGGGGAGAAAGGCGGCAGGGTACTCACAAAACTGGGCTTTGGCGGCAGCCTGAGCAGGAGTTTTAGCTGCAGCCGGGACCCCTACTCCTGCGGGGAGAGGGAAGGGGTTCAGGGAGGGCCCCCATGGAGGATTCAGAGGCCCCTCAGGCCCACTTACTCAGGCAGCTCACCTGCAACACCGCCTGGGCCAAGGCCAATGCCGGGGACCACGCCAGGAGCCACGCCAACACCGGGGGCTAACCCTGTAAGAGTGAGAGGAGCTCATTCCTAACCTGAATTAATTAGTCCCGACCAAGGAGAATGGAAGCTGATGGAAAGAGCAGCGGGCTGGGAGTCAGGAGCCTTGGGTTCTCATCCCAGCCGGGACACAGACTTGCTGTGTGACCTTGGACAAGTTACTTCCCCTTGATGGGCCTCAGTGTCCTCTTCCCTAACACAAGGTGTGTGCAGGATCAGGAATTCTCAGCCTTCGGAGGGACAAGGACCCCTCGGAGGGGGATGGAGGCAGAGTGACGTAGTGAAAGGAGCTGGCAGGACAGGCAGACCTGGCTCTGAGCTCGGCTCAGCCACCGTCTGGCTGTGTGACTGTGGGTGAGTGACTTAACCTCAGTTTCCACAGCTGTAAAATGGGAATAAAGGTACCAATTCATGAGGCTGGTGTAAGAATTACCTCAGCAAATGGTAGTTTTATAAAAAAGGGCTGTTTGTCATAGATGGGTTTGGGGGTCAGCGGACCCCGGGTTAAGATTTCTCTGGCCAGAAGCCCTAGGTTTTCTGATCTGATTCTTGCTGCTCGTGGGTCCCTGAAGCCAAGGCGTGCAGAGCCCTCACCCAGGGCCTGGCACAGAGGCGGGCTCTGGAATGGAGCTGCCAATTTGCCTTTTCCAGGAAGAGGGGGGTGCCTGGGGCTGCCAGGGCAGCCCTCAGATGAGCGAGAGATGGAGCACCTTGTCAGGGAGCAAGAACACGGCGGTCGCTCAGGCTGGGGCGAGCCCAGAGGAGCCCAGCAGGAGGTCCGGGAGCCGCCTGGGAGGCGGCAGGGGCTTTGGGAAGGACGGGGAGTCCTGGAGTTCCTAAATGGGAACTTCCCCACACCCCTAAAAGTGGTCAGACAGGCCAGCAGCTGTGAGGAAGGCCCACGCCCAGAATGTGACAGCCTAAGGGGCTGCTGGACCCCAGAGCAGGGGGCCTGAGAGAGCAGTACTCCAGGACGAGGGTTGGAGGCAGGATTCAGGGGCAGGGGGACACTCACCAAACTGAGCGGCTTTCGCGGCGGCCTTGGCGGCTGCGGCAGCTGCTGGGGTCACTACTCCTGGAAAGGTGAAGAGCGGGAGTTGAGGAGTAGTCCCCAGCCCCCTACTCACTCTCTCCCATCCCCTACTGCGGAAAGACCCCTCAGAGTCCACCCCTAGGGAACTGTCCCCTCTCCCCAAAGACCCTCAGCCTCCTCACACAAGAGACAGAGAGGGGCAGGAAAGCCTGCCCGTGGTAGGCCGCCTGGGTTCCGGGCCCGCCCTGGGGGTGGTCTGCTGGCTGTTCTGGGCACGTCCCTTTCCCGGGAAGCAGCTCTGGGGCTGTGGCGTTCTAGCTCTGCCTGTGGTGGAGGCCCCAAAGCTGTGATGGGTGGACGCACAGACCCTCTCTCCCAAACCTCAGTCGAGGAGATTTGTGGGGCTTTCTGCAGAAGGTGGTGTTCATTAAAAAAAATTCTAATCGTGCCTGTATCCAAAACTATTGGAGGAAATGGCTCATTTCTTGGGGGAACTCGAAAGGGGAATTTCTCCCAGAAAGAAGGAATGCAGAAGAGAAATATTCTGGCGGGAAAAACCACCAAGGAAGGTTGTAAGGTAACCTCACTGTAACTCTTCATCTCCCCCTTTGGCCTCTGACTGTAGAGGGAAAGAGCTCAGGAGAACCACGGGCTGATGCAGGCACTCCCACCCCATCAGGGACCAGCGAGGCCCCACAGGCAGGGAATGAGGCCCCTGGACCCTGGCAGAGCAGAGCTCCAGCTGCCTAGCCGGCTGACGTCCTGAGTGTCCCGGGCAGGGAGGAGACGTGCCGGGTCCACTCAGCAGTCTGGAATCCCATGGAAGGCTCTTCCCTCCAAACTAGGGGCAACTGCTTTCTCTCTTCCCATCTCTGGTTTGGGGCTGCAGCTCACCTGGCACCCCTGCAACGCCCGGCACGCCTGGAACTGCGACTCCGGCACCTGGCACCAGCCCTCCTAGGGCTCCTGCTGCACCAGCACCTGCAGGAGGGAGGAGCGTCCAGCCTGGCCCTCGAAGCATCCCCTTGTCGGGGTGCAGAGGGTGGAGGTGGGCAGGGGGACAGAATGGCTGCATGGGCACCTTCAACTTGCTGGTTTGGGGTGCGGGTGATAAGCAGGACACCAATAACCCTGACGGTGGCATCCGAAGAGGGCAGAGAAGTGCAGTGTGGCTTTGGAAGACAGGGCCAGGGGCTCCCGACCGTGGTCCAGGCCATTCTGGCCCCCGAGGCCTGAATATGAGGCTGGTCTGCCCTCATGCTGGAGAACTGCTCTGAGCTCGGAGCCTGGGCCCCGGGGAGAGCAGGGCCGGGCTGGGGAGGAGGGCAGGCGGCGGCCCTGGGCGCGAGGACAGACTAGGCAGGGGCACTCACCAAACTTGGCTGCCTTGGCGGCAGCTGCTGCCTGGGCTTCAGCTATGAGGAAATGAGGAAAGAGAGAGACTCTCAGAAGCCTTGCTGGACCTCAGCCGGGCTGTGCTTACAGCTGTCCTGCCCCAAAGGCACCGCAGGCCGAGCCTGAGCGCTCCTCTGACTCCTCCCTGACCACACTGAAGCCCGGTCCACACTCCCCATCCCCCAGATAGCCCTACGCCAGAGAAGCCCCTACTCCTTCTCCTGGTTTCCCCAGATGGAATGAAGGCTCACGGGAAATGGCAGCTCCAGGAACACCGGCTCCGACACCGACACCATAGCCAGGAACCCCGAAAGTGGGAATGCCTCCAACTCCCACTCCGGCTCTAGCGCCTGCAGAGAGAAGAGAACCAAGTGGAAAAGGATCTCAATGAGAGAGGCTGGGGAGGGCTCTGGGGGATGCTGGTCGGCTGGGAAAGAGCCTCCCCCAAGTCTGGTCCATGAAGGACAGGAAACTGTGGAATGCCTGGGCCCCCTGCCAGCCTCCTCCCTGAAGCCTTTCCTGACACCCTCCAACACTCCCCCACTCCCTCTCTTCTCTGAGCACTTGGGGAAGGGCCCCTCTGTTGGCTGTGGAGGGACTGTGGGCAGGTCCCATATCCCTAGCCAGGCTGGGGCTCCTCTGAGAGAGCCCTGGCCATGGCAGGGAGGGTCAGGGACACTGTCTGCACTGGGAATGCCACACTGGGACTCTCTCATCACTCAATCCCATGGCCTCATGGGCGGGGGACAACTGGAAGAGACATTGTCCTGGGGCTTAACAGGTCCAAGTCCCACCTCTGCCAGTGACTTGCTGTGTTACCCTGGGCAAATCACTCCCCTTCTCTGGGCTGTACAATTGAGGACGAGAAGATGAGGGTTCTTTAGTTCTGGTAAGTAAAAGCCAGAACAGGGTGGGGCAGAGCTATCAGCATAACACTCACCAAATTTGGCTGCTTTGGCGGCTGCTTTAGCAGCTGCAGCTGGTGACACAGCCCCTGGAGAGACCAAGGGGGACACAAATGCTCAGGAGAGAATGGAGGAGAGATACTCCATGTATATGCCTCTGTCCACCCATCTATCTTTTGGTGCCTTTTCTTTCGAGCCAATGTAGAGCTGTCCATCCATTCACCCATTCATGTCTCCATCTACCCATCTAGCCATCTGTCTACCCAACCACCCGTTCATCCACCCACTGACCTACCCATGTCTGTCCATTTGTCTCTTTATCCTTGGACCTTGATCCACCCATTCAACCACTTATCTCTCTGTCCACTCATGCACCTATTTATCCATACACTTATCCACTCACTTGTCTATCTATCCATTCATCTAAGTATCTATCCAACCATTTTGCATTTGCCTTCTACCCACCCATCTGTTCATCTGCTCATCCAAACATGTGCTTATCCATCCATCATCCATCCATTCATCTATCCATCTATCCATCATTCTAACCACTTATCTAGTCCCCCACATGTCTATCCATCTGTCTTTCCATCTACCCATTTATCTCTCCATCCACCATTTTACCCATTTATCTATCCATCCATGTGTCCATGCATCCTTGTATCTGTCCATTCATCTACCCACCACACACTCCTTCATCCATAAATTTGTTTACTCATCCACATGGCCATTCACCTACCTACCCAGCTGTCCATCTGCCTGTCCATCCACCCATCAATCTATCCATCCATCCATCTACCTACCTACTCACCCATCTATCCACCATTCACTGAGCACCTATTCAGCTAAGGGCTGGGAACATAGAGATGAAAAAGACATGGTTCCTGCCCCCAGGAGCACATGGACAGCCAGAAGGTGAACTGGAGAAGACGAAGCTGTCAGTAGCTAATTAGGAGGTGGGTATAACCCAAGGGAGAGAAGACGAGGCATGGCCAAGGATATGGAGAGGATAGACGGGTAAGGTATTAGGGAGAATCCAAAAGTCTTGGCAACAGTTTCAATATTTCTTTTACCCATACAGCTCAGCTCACCTGGTCCAACAACACCTGGGACTCCAACACCAGGGACCCCAACGCCAGGGACCCCAACACCAGGGACCCCAACACCAGGGACGCCAACGCCAGGGACCCCAACGCCAGGGACGCCAACGCCGGGGACGCCAACGCCAGGGACGCCAACGCCAGGGACTCCAACTCCAGCAGCTCCTGCGGAAGAGAAGGCTTGTTCTCCTGGCCTGGACCCCATGGGAATGTCAGAGGTCTTCCAAGGGCATGGCTCTGGGGAGCTATAGGATGGCGGGTCTTGAGTGCAGGATCCCAGGTTGGCTGGCATTGCCTCTGCATGGATCCAACTCATCTGAGAGATGGGGAGGGACTGAGAGAACTCCCACAGAGCTCTAAGAGTTTGGATCTGTGGGTGGGAAGAACGGGGTCTGTGTCTAAAGCAAAGTCAGAACTCTCGCTACTGGGCACCCAGACAGTTGGTGCAACAGCTGTGGGTCAGCCTTGGGGGGACAGCGGGAGGGGCCAGATGCTCCACAGGCACCGCCCCCCATCGACTGGGCCAGTCAGTGGAGAACATTGGAGATGGCCTCCTAGGCAGCTTGGCCAGAGGGCAAAGGCAAGGAGGCAGGCACAAGGCATGTTCAGGACGGGGAGGGAGACTGCCACAGATGGATGAAGGCAAAGTCCATCCAGCCTTATCAGATTGGGGTCTCCGAGGCCACTGCAGAGGCCAGGGCAGGCCCTGAGGGTCTGAGGGCAGGCTGGAGTCCTGGGCCTGCCACTCCTGGGGACACTCACCATATTTGGCTGCCTTAGCAGCCGCCTTTGCAGCAGCAGCTGGAGCCCCGACCCCTAGAGAGATAGCCACAGATGGTGAGGTCCTTTCCCTGTGGCCCTCTCAAGGCCACCCCCACCCCCTGCTGGAACAGACATTACCTGCGATGCCTCCAATCCCAGGAATTGCACCGGGTACCCCAGGAATGCCGGCACCTCCAACACCAACGCCCGGGAGAACTCCGGCTCCTGCGGCACCTGTTAGGATGGAGACAGTGCAGATGTGGCTCCCAGGGTCCCTCCTGAGGTGGGGCAGGAAGGCGGCTCGGAGGCCCACATTTTCACCAGCACAATCTCCTCTGGGAATGAGGCCCAGGCGTCTCCCGCTATGTCTGCCTGGGAAGGCCCCCACCCCACTGTTCCTTGACTCACCCCCAAAGTGTCCATTTCAACACGCTCATTAAGAGACTTGTACGTTTTCAGACAAATCCCATTCTAATCACTGCCACATACTGAGAAACCACAAGCCGCCGCTCCCCACGCCAGAGGGGCCCCTGTAGGAATGTTCAAGGCTTCCTTTCCCTGTGTTCCGAAGACTCGGCCAAGTTTGTAATCCAAGTGCCTGGCGGCCTGGCTCTGGCAGCCCCTTGCTGCCCCACTCTCCTGCACCCACATTCCAGCCGTCCCCTCCAGCCTTGGGGGCCTCTGTGGAGCAGGCCTCCAGCTCAGTGCTTCTTTCCACACTCTGGCCCCCTTGGGCTGGTGGGGAGAGGTCTCTGTCCCAAATGGCTGTAGGAAGGGCTCCCCCAGGACTGGGAGTGAAGGTGAGGACTTCAGCCTCAATGATCTGACTCTGAACTGGGGGGCTCCCTGGGGCAAGGGGACAGATGCCCACTCTCCCCACTGTGTGGCACAGGGAAGGCCATGCTACGTCTGTGAGCCAAGGGATCATGGGCTAGTTAAAAATTTTATAGTGCACATTAAATTGATACTAAACTATTAAATTGTTTAAATGCTCATATATGTACCACCTCAAATTATCCCATCCACCATAGTACCCGTTCCCTCTGCCTGGGCTCCTGCTTGTTTTAACCACATGGCAAACTGCACCTGTATTTTCAGGCCTGAATCAAATGTCATTTTCTCTGAGAAGCCTTCCTGATTTCCCCCAGGCAGAAATAATATCTCCCTCTTCTTGATTCCCACAACAGTACCTACATTTTCCAGCAGAGCTCCTATCTGTCCCTGGTCTCTGAAATGGATGAATGGTTAGATGAAGGGACAGATGGAAGAATAGAGGGAGAAATTAATGGATGGAGGGAGGAAGGGAGAGAGGGGTGGAGGGAGGGAGGGAGGAATGAATGGATGGATGGAGGGAGGGATGGATGAATGGATGGAAGGAGGGAGGGAGGAGAGAGGTGGGGAGGAAAGAATAGATGGATGGATGGGTGAAGGGATGGAAGGAGGAATGGATGGATGGAGGGATGGATGGAGAGATGGATGGAGGAATGAATAGAGAGAGGGATGGACGGAAGGATAAATGAATGGATGGGGGAGGGAGGGACGGGGGGAGAGAGGAATGGTTTTGAAAAAATTGGACAATGGGTGTGGGGAGGGACCGCCTTGTTTAGTTACCTGTGAGGCAGGCTCTCAGTGTAATAGGGATGGAGAGGTTGGGGGTTGGGGGCTGGCAGGTGAGGACGCCAGAGGTACTCACCAAATTTTGCTGCTTTAGCTGCCGCTGCTGCTGCAGCTGGACCAACTCCTTGGGGGAGGGCAAGGGGAGAGACTGAACATTGTGCCCCTGCATCTCCAGAGGCCACCTGTTCCAGCCCCGAGAGAACCAACCCTTTCACATATGGGTGTGGGTGGGGCTTCACAGCAAGCAGAGGTCGATAGAGCCGCCCCCACCCAGGATCCTTCTCCAGGCTCAGAGGGACCTGGATACACAGTGGGCTGGCTCCAGGGCTCGAGAGCCTGGGTGATTAGTGCCCTTTTGGCTGGCAGTGAGGGGAGGCTTTCCTTACCTGTCCCTGTCGGGTACCCAGCCTTGCCCGCTGCACCAGCCACTCCTCCGGGCCCGTAGCCTGCGAAGTAGAGAGGCTGAGCGGGAGGCTGCGTAGATGGCACTGCAGCTGTCCTCCCTGCTCTGCCCTTCCTGCCCTGCCCTGCCCTTCGGGGCCTGGGCTCCCCAGAGTCTCCACCACACCCCTGGCCAGAGTTAAGGCAAACAGAAACGTGGGTGTGGGGTGGTTATTCTCATTTTACAGACAAAGACACTGAGGCCCAGAGAAGAAACGGGTTCACCCAAGGCCTGGTGATAAGCACGAGGGCCGAGATTGAGAACTGGGTTGTCCGAGTCTGAGCTCCCTGCTCCTTCCTTAGGGGATTCCCATTCTAAGACTCCACCCCTGCCCCCTCCGCAGCTGGGTGCTCTCCTAGCCCAGGGCGAGGACCCAGCTCCTTTGCAGCTGGAGAGAGCTGGAAGCCCAGCAGTCTAGGAGGGCCTTACTCACCAAAGGGCAGCTTCCCAGTGCTGTAAGGCAGTCCATAGCCACCTGCGGAGGGGCCGGGGCGGGCTCAGGGGCTGCTTCATGGCAGCCCCATGCCTTGCTGGGCTCCCACTACCTGGGTGGACAGACCTACTCCCCCAGGTACTGAGTCTGAGACACCCCCTGAGGGTCCTGAGCTGCTCACAGAGGCTCTCAGGAGAGCAGAGGCCTGGGGTGGAGGAGGGAGAGGGCACCCCTGCCCCAGGGCCCAGTGGGACACCCATCCCCCATCAGTGCAGGCCTGCCATGGCCCTAGAGTCTGAGTAGCTTCCTGACTCCCCTCCCCAGCAGGGAATATCTCACGTATGAGCTGATTGCAGGGGTGGGGTGGGCTGACGTCAGAGGGGTCTTTCCCGTGAATGGTGTTTCTTACCATCAACAAGATGGTTTCCCATCAGGGCTGTGGGTCTCTGTGCGTGTGTATGCCTGTGCATGGCGTGCATGTGTGTGCATCATGTGCATGTATGTGCACGTGAGTCGGGCCAACTCCTGCAGCATGGCTTCCCCATGCTTTCCTTTGCTGATGACGGGAAGTGTGCTGCAAGACCCAGGTTTCTTAACCTGCCCCCCAGGGACACCAGTAGGCAAACAAGTGCCTCCCACAAGCTGGCCACTCAGCAGTGAGGCCTGGTAGGTGGTGCCTCTTGGATCCTCCTCCTGACTTACCTGGCAGCTTGGGTGCCTTGATGGGGTACCCCAGTGGGACTCCAGGCTGCTGTACCCCAAAGGGTCCAACTCCTGTGGCAACAAGGAGAGCAGAATCAGGTCCCCGCAGCTTAGGCCAGCAGCCCCTGCTAAGCCTCCAGTCTCACACTTTCTGTTCAGACAGAATGACCTCGCACTGCATCTGGGATCCATCCTGCCTCCACGGCCTTCCTGCCTCTGTCAGCCTTCGCTGAGCACCCCAGCCCCCCGTGGGGGCCACTTCCTCTGGGAAGCTGCAGGACTCTCTCCTTCCTGGGGCTTGGGCCACAGTTCGGGCCCGCAGCCCTCACTGATTTTAGCACAGACTGGTGGGTTTTCTGGGCTCATTTGGACTGCTAGGCAGAGGGGTTGGGGTGGGGTGGGGGAAGCAGGCCTGTGAGTGATGCCACTTTATGCTGAAGCCAGTCCAAGGCCTGGAGCAGTAGGCATGGGGAAGCTGGACAGGCCTTGATGAAATTCTGGGTGACCAGCCCCTCCCAAGAGCCCCTGCCTGGCTGGTCACCCTGCTGGCCCGCCCGCCCCGTGGGGGACCCAGCTTTGCCTCACCTGGGATTCCAGCAAAAGCTCCACCTCCACCTGCAATGACAGGAGCCATTCTGAGTCCTGCCATCATGGACGTAGGGCACAGGGGCACCACTGGCCGGTGCCAGGCAGCACTGAGGGCCAGGAGGGCCTGAGAGTGGCCACTTCCGCCCAAACTGCCCAGCTCATGTTGCCCTCACACTCGCTCGGGATTTCTGAGAGGTCTGCTGCCCCCTCGCCAGCTGCACCAGGGCTGCAGCACAGGAGGTGCCCACCCACAGGGCCCTGAGCCCCGGGTCCCCACCCCAACCCCAGCCAGGCCAGAGGGGCCTGAGAGTGGGCAGAGATTCCCACCATGGACCCCCCAACCCAGCCAGCGCATACCTGGGACCTTGGGTTTGACTCCTGCTCCAGTGGGAACCCCAGGGAGCACTCCCACACCCGGGAACCGAGCTCCTGAGGGGGAAAGAGGGCTCTGGCAGCGAGGGAGGGGAGGCAGGCCTCGCAGGCCCAGCCTGGCACCCACACTCCCCTTGGGTCACACCGCTGGCCTCCTGAACTGACCGTCAGTGATGGGCATGGCCCGTGTAGTGGCAGGGGGGCCTCTTTGGTGGTGACCTTCCTTCCCTGTCTGACCCGAGGCCAGAAGACCTGAGATTTGATCCCGTTTCCTAGCCACGTGAGCTTGTGCCTCAGAGGGCCTCGCCTCTAAACTGGAGTTAATTTCCAGGCACCCTGCCCACCCGCACCAGAGCAGGAGGACAATAAATGCTTGGTGAGTGGGATGCCTGTGCCCTTGGGGCTCTCTCTCAATGTCATTCACAACCAAACGCAGCAGCCCTCTGCTATGGCCCGGAATCTCGACCTCTAGCTCTGGTGCTCCCATTGCCCCTGTCTCCCCTGGGTCTGGGCCATCTCGGCGAGAGAGACAAGGGGAGGGACACTCTGTCAGCAAATCCCGCAGAGCAGCCAGAATCCGGGCTTTTGGGGGAATCCAGGAGGTCACTTGCTGGGTGGGGTGGCCGGGCCCTGGCAGGGAAAGGAGGTTGAGAGGGCAGCTCTGAGGGTCTCCTGCAGGGCGGATGCACTGGGTGGGCCCCCTGGTGACTCACGGCTTTTGGGAAACAGCTGGCCACACTGGGGATGTTGTGTGTCCTCCTTGGGGCCCACCTCAGGCCGTGACGATGGTGTGGGCCTGGGCCTGGGGTCAGGGCTTGGGTGGGGCGGGGAGGAAGCTGACTGGCCTTTGTGGGGAAAGATGACCAGGGGCCTGAAGTCTGTTAGCCTGAGCTTTGGTGCTGGTCAGGACCCAGGGCCTATGGTGGCCTCGGCATGGGGGGATGTGAGGGGCCACCAGGGAGGCTGCCAGGGATGCTGTCCTTGCTATGGGGTCCCCTTCTCCTCCTTGCCCTCACCTATGCCTGGGAGCACTCCACCTGGGTATACACCTGGTAGCCCCACACCTGTGGCCAAAAGAAAAAGGAGGAGTCACTAGCAGCAGCCAGCCTCTGAAACCCCTCCCCAGCCTTGCCCTCCTTGGTGGGTCCAGGGCTCCCTAACCAGCCCCCGGGTGCCCAGCAGGAACAGCCAGGGACACATGTGGTGGCTACAGCCTCCTCCCACGAGTTTCAGAAGTCATCTGCAAACGTTCCTGTGCGTGGATTTATCTCGTCTCCTGGAGCCTGTTTACATGGCCGGCCCAGCCCACCTCAGGGCTAACAGCTTCCAGATGTTCCTCCCTGCTGTGTGGACTCAGACAGCCTTTTGTTTAACCTGAAGTCACTTCCTCCAGGGCTTGGTGCAAAGGAATGAGCCCCAGATGGGGGTCAGAGCACCTTGGGCTCACCCCAGCTCTGCTGTGACCACTGAGGGCCCTGCTGCACTGACTTTCCATTCTGAGCCTCAGTCTCCCCATCTGTCACCTGAATGCCTACCACAGAGCCTGCCTCTGAGGTCTCCTTCTGCTCCAAGATCCTGGAAGGAGGGCGTGGAAAGTCGGCCAGGGCCCCTCTCTCCCATTTCAGACAGGCACCTCACTTTGGGCCTGGCCCTCTTCCCTGCCCTGCTGTGGCCAGGCCTTGCCCTTCCTGCCCAGTATGGAGGTGTGGCCTCTGCCCCTCCCTGGCCGCCCCACTCCTGCCCCAGGGACTCCACACTGACCGGGCACTTTCCCAGGCTTCCCTACGGCGCCGGCTCCGACTCCCACTCCTGCCCCGGGCTGAGGCACCACCGCACCTGCATGGAAGGGGCTGCATCAGAGCAGGTTCCACCCAGGCCTGCAGCCTTCACCCAGGCAATTTGGATCTAGCCACCATACCTGCAGACACTCCTAAGCCACCAACCCCACTGACACCGGCAACACCACCAAGCCCAGCACCTATGGGGCCAGGAGTGGGAGAGGCCAGGGGTCATATAAGAACAGGGGCAGCTGGAGGGCCCTGGGCTGCACATGGAGGGCCCAGCGTTGAGGTCTGGCCCTGCCACCACCTTACTTTGAAACTTGGGCATGGCTGGTTGCTTCCCTGAGCCCCAGTAGATTAGAGATGAGGATCCCGCCTGCCTACTTCCCAGGAAAGGTTCTCAGCAAAATGGAGAACCCAGGGAGGCCGGAGGGCTTCCGGCATGTCCCAAAGAGCGACACTCACCAGCCTTGGCAGCTTTATAGGCTGCAGCAGCACCAGCCACTCCGCCAGGCACCAGAGCACCCGGGAAGGCGCCTGCAGGAAAGGCCCCAAGCCCTGCAGGGAGGAGGAGGGGGTGAGGTCCTGAGCCCCAGCCCACCTAGCCCTGCCTGGCCCGGGAGGTGTATTTGAGGCCCTTCTGCAGGACTTCCATGCCAAGCAACGACTACTGCTCCCAGGACCGATGTGGATGCTGGAGCGCAATATGGACCAGGCCGCTCCGCTCAGCCTGACAAAGCTGCAGGGATCCTTTGGGGTCCAATCTCTACACCCTCCTCCTCCAGAAAGCCTTCCTGAAGCCCCACTGAGTGGAGCCACTCCTCTGGGCTCTGAGGGCTTCTCCCATCCAGCCCTTATCACTTCCTTCTAACAGCACCCAGGACCCAGCTGGGACTCCCTCGTGCCCTAGGCAGCGGCTCCAGGCAGGTGGTCTCAGGATCACCCCCACACCAGCGCCCAGGACAGGCCTGGCCTGCGCCCCTGTACCCCACTGCCCTCCACGGCAGACAGATGCCCTGGGCTTGGCTCTAGCCCCCAGAGGGCATCTCGCCTGGATGTCGACACTAACCTGCGCCAGGGGCGACGCCCGCGAGCCCGCCAACACCTGCAGGGAAGAGGAGAGAGAGCCAGGTGAGGACAGTCTGGTGCGGGGCATCCTTCCAGGGCCCAAGGTGGGAGGGCTCTCGTGGAATGGGGGCAGGAACCGGGCAATGCTGTGGCCACTCAGGCCCCTAAGCTGGACTCAAGCCTTTGGTACTTGGGGGCTGATTCTGATAAAATAGCAGCTGCTGCTTAGCGACTAACTGCTCTGTGCCATGTAGATTTGATGTGCCGTGTAGGCCCTCCGTGACATTCCTGGACCAGGCCGTGTTTCCCCTGGAAGCACTGCCAGCTGATGGGGGACCCAGCAGGGCTTTCTGTAAACGCTGAAGCTGAGCAGAATCTGCCAGCAAGACCTGGCCAGGCCTTGCTTGTTCCCACCTTGGTCCCCCCTCAAGGCCTTTCTTTTGCTTCCTTGCAAGGGTCCCCTGGCTCAGCCCCCTCCCCTCCTCTGTATCTGGAGCCCTTTCTGTCCCCCACCATCTATCTGTCCGTCCATCTAGCCTGCCCTGCAGTGCAGGAGCCTCCTTGCTTGCAGACAGATGCTAGGATGTTTATGAGAAGCCGAGTGGGTCCCTCTGGCTCCCTCCTTCTCACATCTGGGCCCCATCGCTCCTTTTCCCCCTCCAGGAGACATTCCAGGGCCTTGGCTAGGCCGATGGGCAATCAGGTTGGGTTTGTTTCCAATTATGTGAGAATCTCTCCTGCAAGCACCAGTCCTGGCTGCCAGGGTCCCAAGCCCAGGGGCGGCCCTCTCTGAGGACTGACCCCAAACTTGGGGGACTGCTGAGCCCTGGAGGGTCTACCTGGCTTTCACTGGGTGTGGTCTCTCTCCCCCTACCCCATTTCCTACTTGTGTGAGCTGGCCCCAGCTGACACCCAGCCAGCCCCTCTGTAAAATGGGTCTCCAGCTCCGGCCAGTCTCCCTTCCGGCAGGTGTGGTGTGGGGGTCAGGCTGGGCCTGGGGTATGGCAGGCTTCACTTCCCAGCCCTGCAGGCCCTGTCCCTGCCCAGCACCGTCAGGGGCTTCTCTCAAGCCAGACCTAGTTCCTGAGCTCCAACAGGGTAGGGGACACTCTGGCCTTTCCTGACCGCAGAGAAGCTGGGAAAAGAAGATGGGGCTCTAACAGGAAGTGAGAAGAGGCTGGGCCGGTGGGGGTGGGGGCAGGCAGCCCCTCTGCAGCCATCTGCCCTTTCCCTGTGCTCCCCTCAGCTGTCTGGTCCCAGAGCTGTCCTTGGGCGTGACACACCACGATGGCATGTCCTCCTTCCTGTGGACTCCCCTGGCCCAAATGCCCCGAGAAGTCCAGCTGGTGGAAAGGAGGAGAGACCTTGAGGATCTGGCCACAGCCGAGTGCCCAGGGCCCGCCGGCCCAACCCTCTCTCTTCCTGGAGTCAGAGAGCTCTGGATTCAAATTCTCCCACCCCTACCTACCGTACACGTGGGAGCCAGTCACTTCACCTCTCTGAGACTCAGTTTACCCACCTACAAAATGACCAGCGTGTCCCTGACCTTCCAGGACCAGCGGGCTTGTGAGCAGAAAGCACCTAATGTGTTCAGCTGCCAGGGCGCCCAGTAGGTGTCCCCCGCTCCTTCATGTCCTCTCAGGTGGGCGGCTGGCCTCCAGCTGGTGCTGGGGGTGTGGGTGGTGCTGGCTCCCAGCTGCCTGGTCCCCCACCGAGAGCCCAGGCAGGGCAGGCGGCTGAGGCCCACATGGAGAAGCTGCCAGGCCACCCACCCTCTACTTGCCAAGGGATTAATTGTTCCCAAGCATGACACATGCTGCCTGTGCCTCGTGCCATCCCGTCCCGCCTGGGCAGGCCCGGATGTGGGGAGCTGCCGGGGGGTGGGCACTGTGGCCCTGCCTTGGCCTTTGCAGCCCTGAGTCCTGAGGCTGAAAGATGACCTCAGGGAGCCGTGGAACCCAGCCTCTTTTCATCCAGGCAGATGTTCTGCCTTTGCTTCTGCTCTGCTCCTTTACCCCAAGCTGGAAGTTCTTTTGGAAGTCTAAACTAAATCTTTCATTAATACAAGCATCGCTTTAGCAACCATGCATTATGGGACGCTGCATGCAGTTGTCTGAGTCTTCCCTCCGGTGTTTAATCACCACCTGCCGGGTGTCCCCTGCTGCCAAGGGGATCAACCAATCCCCACGCTAGCTTTGCAGTCATGGCCTCCACAATCTGGGTTTTCTCGGCTATGCTGGGTCCTAATTCCATGCTGTCGTTTCTCTAGGCCTTTCCTGCATTCTCTCTTCCTTCAAAGACCCTGTGAAGATGGCTCACCCCTCCAGGAAGACAGGATGCAGGATGAGCATGAATCCCAAGGGCTCCCAGCCTTGCGGACCCCACAGACCCCGGGGAAGCCCTGGCCCAGCTGCCTGCCCCTGCTGCTCTCGCCTGGCCCAGCTCTGGAGTTTCACAACCCAGATGGGCTTGCAGGGAATCTGGGCCTTGAAGATTCATTTGTGCTTGGATCATGGAACATCGGGGATTTCATAAGAGCTGTTGGACATCCAAAGTGTCCTGGAGCCTCGGGCCTCAGAGCCAGGGAGACACGGAGCAGTGCTGGGGTGCTGAGGCCACATGTGGAGCATCTCACGCTGATAGGGCCATAAATCTGGATGGAGACACCATTTCCTCCACCTGCTCCATTTCTACTGGTGCTTCCCAGGGGGGCCGCCCTCCCCCTTGCCTAGGGGTGTGCTCTTTGGAGCTGATGGTGGGCCCTAGAGGCAGATCCAGGCCCCATAGGCGAGGCCAAGACAGAGCTAGCCACATTTTGCTGGAAAACTCTAAGGTCTGGACATAGCTGGAAGGGGCCTGGGATCAGGAAGGAAGCTCACATGGGGCCAGGGTCAAGATTCAGCCTGGGGGTAAGCTCAGGGCTTATTCTGGGGTCAGGATAAGGGCTCATGGTGTCATCAAAGTCAGGAATATCTAGAGTCTTGGCCTGTGGTTAGAGAGGGCTTGGTCTGGGGTCAGGGGACCATCCAGGCAGACTCTGGGGCCCACCGTCTGTATCTGAGTCCCAGAGGAATGTTTACAGGCTTGGTGGCCATTGGAACATCAATTCCTACCTGTGTCCCCAGCCCCTGGGCTGTTTCTGAAACCCTGTGCAAAGGGGCCAGGGCAGCTGGGCACATCGGCACTCACAGGGTGGACCCTGGACACCCCTCACACAGGAAGGACATCAAGCTGTCTCCAGTCTCCTGTCGCCGGAGCCCTGGGCTTGGTCCCAACCTGGTCATACCTGGGGGCTGGCTCTGCCCACTACTCTCCTCCCTCCTCCTGCCCGCTGGCTCTCTTGACAGGCGCACAGCTCTGTGGCCCTCCCCTCCTTGCCCTCCGGCCCCTCCGAGTGCTCTGAGGCCTCCAGTCTTACCTGCCTTGGCTGGTTTGCCTCCAGGTCCCAGTGCTGTGGGGAAAGAGACGGGAGTGAATGGGAAGCACCAGCTTGCCTGTCCCACTATTTATCCCCCCAGGGCAGAGTGAGGGTATAGTGAGCTCTCCCTCCCCAGGTCCTAAAAAAGCTGCTAGAGCTGGTTTTCCCCTTTGGACAGGGAGCTGCTGGAGCCCGGTATCTAGACGCTGGGGTGGGGAAGCCAGCTCCCGCCCTGATTTGTGGTTTGCGCTCTCTCAGACCCAGTTTCCCAGCCTCCAAAGGAGATGATGATACCCACTCAGCGGGCTTTGCAGGGATGCTGGGAGGATCAAAAGAAACATGAAAGCAGGCGGGGCCACCAGGGAAAGAGTCCGGGGGAGGGGCAGGGGGCGGGAGGCAGCGGGCTCCAGGCCGCAGTCAAGTCTCCCACACTGGACGCCGGGCCGTGAAACGAGGAGGCCCTTGTTGCCTGGACCTTCTGGGGTTCTGAGGTGCCAGGACCTGTGTGGGCCGGAGTGATACCCAGAACCTGTCAGAAGGGACCAAATTTATTTTCTGAGCTTACCTCCTACTCCCAGGCCTCCGAGACCAGCCCCTGTATTGAGAGAGAGAGAAAGAATTAGTGTCCCACCAGAAAGCCACCTCTTGACCACGCTCAGATCCATTACTGCCCAGCTACGTGACCTCAGGCAAGTCCTAGCCTCTGTGAGCCTCAGTTTTCTGGTCTGTCTCATTGGGCCAACAGTAGAGCGCCAGTTTGTTCCTGGAAGGATGTTGGTAGCTGCCCTCACTTCCGCATCACTTCTGAACACTCAAATACTTTTTAAGTGTTGAAAACATTACTCTTGATTTTCAATCAACTTTAAAGCATTCTACTTTTTTCTAAATTAAAAGAAAGTATGGCTCCCCCCCCCCCCCAACCCCAATGTCATTGCTCCATCGTTCCAACATCCTGCCCATTTTCTTTTTGGGGCTCCCAGTCTCCAACTGCACACAGTTGTTGCTTTTATATCATTTTTACTTGAAAAAACATTTCACCGTGTTGGACAACAGGTAGTGTGTTCATACTTTTTAGGAGCTGTGTATGATTTTAGAGCGTGCTTAATCACACCCTCCAATCAGGTGTGTTTCTTGTTTTACATTTTTGCAGATAATACTCCTAAGAACCTTGTTACATACGGTTCTTTTTTTCACTTTCCAATGATTTCCTTTGAATAGATTCCCAAGAGTGGGGTTAACGGTTTGAAGACTGTGAAAGGCAGGGATGCGTGAAGGCACCCACTTTCCTACAGTCTCGTTGTGTTTCCTCTTTCAGAAAATTTATGCTCTTAATAGTCGTAAAACAGAGTCACAGAAACTGCTTTTTTAAGTAGAAGCAACTTGTGGGTTCTCTGGGGTAGGTGGCCAATGTCCTTCACTTCTGCAGGGTCAAAATGGGCCTCTCTTAGGGCTGTGATCCCAATCCGCCTTACGGGGTGGCAGTTTCATGTATGTTACCTGGGAAAAAGACTCCTCCTGGGACTCCACCAGGAACGGCCCCTGGGACCCCTGGAAGGAAGCAGGCAGAGTCCTCCATTAGCCGGAACTAATAAAATCATGGTAACAATGACGATGATAACATTGCACGTCTACAAAGCAATTGATGTTTACAAAAGCGTTTTCACAGTCACGTTCCTCAGAATGGCCCTGTGAGGTTGGAAGTGCTAGGATTACTATCTTCATCTCAACAGATGTGAAATCAGGCTCAGGGAGGTTAAGAGACGTGCCCAGGGACACACAGCTGGAAAGAAATAGAGCCCGCATTCAAACCCAAGCCACTTGTCTGAGTAGGACGGTTTGCATGGCGTTACCTTCTTCTCCTCTCCCCCTGGAGAGGGCCCGGCATGGGGCTGGTTCTGAGCGCCGTTTGCCTTTTGCTGGGCAGCCAACTCTCTCTAGCCCTGAGCAGCATAGGGAGGGGCCAGAGTGGTGGGAGGGCAGGCTGAGCTGTGACAGTGAGCTGAGCAGTAAGGAAATGTGGCTGCTGCCAGCAAAAATGCAGCCATTCCCACACTGATAGGACGGCTCGAGGTCAGCGTCCTCAGCCACTGGGCAGCAGTGGTTGGGTGGGGTTCTGGCTGTCTGACACAGAGCTGTCTTAGGAGGCGCCGGGGCCCGGAGGGGGACACCATGAATGAGCAAAGTGAATAGTTTCCTAAGGAAAAGCTAATTCACTGGCCAGGCCGGGGGCCGTCTGCCCGGCCAAGATCACGGGTTCAGTCCCCACGGACGAGTGAAACTCTCACTGGGGAACGCAGTGATGCTGGGCCCCAGACCCAGGCCTGAGCGTAGTCATGGCAACAGCCGATCCTGGTGCAGACAAGCTCTGACTCCACCACCACAGAGTGGCCCAGCCTTAACAAGTGGCCTTGCCAACGCCCCAGCCTGAGCCCCAGCACCACCCTCCTGAAAGGGGCACGGGGGTGGGGTGGGGGGACAGCGTCTGGCGGCTCTGCAGTTTGTCCAGAGGCCTCCTGGCCAGACGTCTGGCCGCTGCAGCCTGGTGATGCTGCACAGCTGGGCCTACTGGCCCCAGGGCCCAGTCAGCCTCAGCCTCAGCCCAGTAAGATGGGGGATGCCAAGCTGTCATGGCCACCCAGTGCCAAAGCCCCGGCGCCAACCCCCCAGGGCCTGTGGCCCCCCAGGAACTGCAGTCCAGGCCTGGAGCGTGCAAGAAATCTGGGTAGAGCCTTGAGGGCTCAGAGCGGTGGCCGCAGGAGGCTGGTCCTGCTGGGAATGAGTGCTTCGGCCCTGTCATCGGCTGCCAAGCACACACATGGCCTGCCTGCAGCCTTTGATGCTGTCCCTGGCTCCGGCCTCCAGCTCTGAGCACTGTCTCTTCTGTGCTTTTCCCTGTCGTGCTCCAGGCCTTTCTCTGCCTCCGTCTCTCCCCCTTCTCCCCTTTCTCTCCCTCTCCCTCCTTCCTCACAGAGCCCTCTCCTCACCTCTCTGCTCCCGGCTCCAGAGCAGGCTGCTGGAGAAGTCTCGGGGTAGAGGGAGCAAGTGGCTCAGGACAGACCCACCTGGCCTCTAATCCTGGCTGTGCGACTTCTTACCATCTGCCTGATCTTGGGCAGGTCACTTAACCCCTCTGAAGCTCAGTTTCCTTTTTGGCAACGTGGGGCTGATAACCATTGCCTTGCAAGCTTGTTGCAAGTTGTTGAAAGGTTCCAGTGAGAGACTTATGCTGCCCTGGACCTGGCACACAGTGACTGCTCAAAACAAACAAACAAACAAAAGATAGCGACCCTTCGAGTCCACTTTGCTGCACAGTGCATGGCCTGGGGCCAGGTATACAGGTGTTCAATAAATGATGGGTGAATTTGGTGGAGCACAGGCAAGGATGTTGCCTGTGGGTCTGGGTCCCACCTGTTCCATCCCCAACCCCTCTAGCGGTCTCCTTACCTCGGGCTGGTCCAGCCCTCAGGCCTGGCTGAACCCCCACCTCCTCTCCTGGGGTTCTGTTCCCCTACACCCGCCTGCGGCTGGCACCCCCGCCCCGTGCCTGCCAGCTCCCCCTCTGCTTCCCCTCTTCCCAGCACCTGCCCCTCCCTCCCCAGCTCTCTCTGCTTCCACTCTCCACTCCACAGTTCAGATCTGAACAGCATCTGCCAAACTCTGTGCCTGAACCATGACATTCTGGGGAGCTGGAGATGCTGTTGCCATTTTGCACTGAGGAAATGGAGCAGGCTTACTGGGTGTGAAGGATTTCCGGCCTGCCTCCTCTCCTCAAGTGTGGGAGAGGTGAGAGCAGAGGAAGACAGTAGTTAACCAAGGGCCTTCAAGATGCAGCAGCCTCCTCTCGTGCTCCAGTGGGTCGTCTTCCTTCCCACCTCCGCTCCTTGGCCTGAGCAGCTCCTCCTGCCAGGAATGCCCTCTTCTCTCTCCAAGTCCCCTTTCCACCATGACTGAGCTCAGATCCTCCTCCTGCCCTCTCCGAGCCTGTGGTTCTCACTGCTCAGCTGGCCCCAGCTTTTGGCCTGGAGCACACTTGTCTTGTTTTATGTGGGTTTGGCTGGTTTCCCCGGCTAGCCCAGGGTGGAACTTGTCTCTTGCATCTTAAAATCATGATCCTAGACTCTCAGGGGTCATAACAATCTTCTGGCTTGGGCTGAAACTCCTTCTGCAAACATCCCCTTGTTCTCCTGCTTGCATGCTTCCAGTGACAGGAAAATCACCACCTCCCGATGCTGTCGGCTCTACCAGTAGAGAGGTTTTTCTCCTACTGAGATAGAATCTGCCCCTCTGCCTCTCCAGTTCTGCCTCCCAGAGCCCCACAGACGGAGGCTCACCTCTCACCCACAGACAGCCCTCAAACACTGACCTTTCCTTCAATATCTCTTCCCAATGTGACCCCAATATCTCTTCCACTGTGAAGCCTTCCTGGATTTCCTGGGATTCCTCCAGGCCACCCCTTCCCCCAGTCCTGTCTCCTTCCTCCATCACTTCACACTGCTTCCCACTAGACAGAAGCTGGTGTGAATAGCCAGAGAGAAAATTGAATCTTATAAATGTGCACTAGTTACAACGGTCAATCAGCCCAAGTTAGCGAATTCTGAATAAGAAAATACATCGTTTTAAAAATGCACATTCCCACAGTCCTCTTCTTTGATGCATTTTTGGCAGCTATGACATTGCTGGACCCTCCCACCGGCCCCAGGAGATAAGTACGGTGAAGATGTTTCTCCCCATTTTACAGCCAGCAAGAGGAAGCGCCTGGCCCGGGACCCACAGCCGACCTGAGTCACACGCAGGGCCTTCCGCCTGAGCCCTGGGCTCTAGGTTCAAAGATCTGGGAGAAGGCTGTTTGGGAGTGAGCAGTGAGCCAGCGGGCCTGGCAGCGGGCTTTGCCAAGTCCAAGTCCGGGGGGCCGGCCTGGGAGCAGATAAGACCGCACGAAGCTGTTTGTTGTTTGCATGGAGAAAGGCTGCCAAGGGTTTTTCAAAAACAGTCTGTCCTCTCGTGGGTGACTCGGTCCCCTCCCTTTCCGGGGCATGTCTGCCCTCGTGCCTGGGCCCCAGCAGATGCAGAGGGCAGGGTCAGTCCCTAACCCAGAGGTCCGTGGCCCTGGAGGCTGGTCGGAGTCACCTGGGCAGCCTTGACAAAACCTCCACGTCCAGCTTCCTGTCCAGACCAAAGAAAGCAGGAATTCTTGGGTGGGACCCTAGCATCGTTGTGTACAGTTCCCTGAGTAGCTCCAATATGCAGCCACAGTTGAAAACCCCTGTTCTAAATCATCTTCAGTTCCGAAAGGAGAAAAAAAAACTAATAATATTCCTGGGGATGGGGAGAGAACTGCACTTGATTTAATTGTTCTCTCTTTCTCTTATTAAATGGCCTGGGGATTAGGGGCAGCTGGTCCTCAAAGCTACCTTTGACACATCCTAAATGGGTCTAGACTACCCTTTCCAACACAGAGTCTTCCTGGGGAGCCCCTTTCTTGCCTCCACTGGCAACACGGTTCTTTGGAGCTGGGAGCTCATGGGAGTGACATCCTCTCGGGGCTGGGGGAAGCTGGGCTCCCCCAGGACAGCCAGAGGGGTGGCTCCGTGTGTGTGTATATGCATCAGTGTGTGCAGGTGGGCGTGTGGGGGAGGGTGTGTGTCTGTGGCCCCCTCCCGCCCCCTCGATCTCTCTAGACATCGGTAGGCTCTGGGCACAAACACCAGAAGACCTCAGCAATTCCCACACCCCTTATTTGGACCCAGCTACTCTACCACCTGGGACAGAGCTGAGATTTATGTTTGCAAGGAAAGAGCAAGGCCTGCCAAGCATTTGGCGCTGTCGCTGAGGGCACAAGGAGAGGCTGCATTCTGCTCCGGGGTGTGCCCACCCTAGAGGACTCGGCCCAGGCCTGCGCCTCCCCAAACGTTGCCTAGTACCTGGCCTTCATCGCCTCATCCTTTGGCCCAGGGCAGAGAGCTGTCTGGTTCTAACCCTCTGGGGTGGCCTTAGCCTGCCTGAGCATCAGTTTCCCCATCTGTAAAGTGCAGATAATAATTCTCAACTCCCGGGGTTCCTGCGGGGATTCACTGCCGTGTTCTAGGTGGAGGATCTGTCTGGGAAGGCAGGTGTCCAGGGGCGCACCTGCGGTGGGGGGAGCTTCAGGCAGGCCCAGAGCTGCTGCTCGTGGGCATTGGGACCGCTGCTCCCCGGGCTGTCTCGCTTCCCCTGCTGGGCCCCACCTGCTGGTGCGCACGTCCCTTGGCCGCAACCAGGCCCAGGAGCTGACCTCTGCGCAGGAAGCCCCGACTCCCAGCAGTCCCGCCCCGCCGGTCAATCTCGAGGAAACAGCTGCTGCTCCTGCCCAGCCCCCGACTCCAGCCCTCCGGGTGACCCTCCTCCACCCTGTGCCCCCTATGCTGGCCCCACTGAAGGTCTGGTTCTCCTGGCAAGGACTCCCACAGAAACCAGACCCCACCCAGGCCACCCCACCAAACGACGCACCAGCCTGCACCTCTCTCTTCCCATGGCCAGGAGCACCTCCAGGGGCCCCCAGCGGGACACTCCCAGGGTCCCCCAAGGGGCATAGAAGCCCCATGGGGGGCACACACCTAATGGTCCAGGATGGCCCTGAGGTCCACTCCACCAGCCACACTCTCTCTGCCAGGAGAGGGACACCTTCCTCAGCTTCCCTGTCCTTGCTGTGTCCCATACCACACACACACACACACACACACACACTCACACACACTCACAGTCACACACAGAGTGACAATCCACACCTAGTGACACACCTGGACACCAGATCTCCCACGGGTACGTGTCTGTCAGGTAGCGGACTTTTGCACATGCTGACAGGCACTTTCACATACCCTCCATGCCCCTCCCAAACACACGCACACACTTGTCCAGGGAGGAACCTGTGAACAGACATTCACCCCTCCCAGAAACCTCTTCCACTATTTGGTGACATATTCGGGCATATACACACGGGCACACCTGTGCCATAGCATCCAACACACTCGTTCATGTGTGCTTGTGTGCACACACACATACGCACACACACAGAGTCACACACACGCTCAGAAGTCCCTCCTCACCAGGGACAGACCACAGTGGCAACTTTCCAACCTGCAACCTTGTAATCAACTTAACCCTGACCTTCCTCAGAGGGGTCCTGACTTCTCAGGGGAGAAGGAACCTGCTGAGGTCACAGCTCACTGCGGCTGGGCTGGCCTCCAGTGCAGGTCCCCAGCCCCCAAGGCAAGTGTGCACACCCGCCAGGTCCACAGGTGTGCAAACTGCCGGTGCCCACAGACCCAATGGAACCCCACTGGCTCTTCCCCAGCGTGCTGCCGACCCCCGACTCGGAGAGCACTGGGACAGAGCAGAGGCCCCGCAGCTCTCCTGGGGCAGCAGAACCTGGACCCTGGGTTGGGAGCATCCTGAGTCATTGGGCGTGTGGGTGACAGGTCCCTCTTCAGCTCGGGCTGGCTCCTAGGAGGGGCAGGTCCAAGGATCCAGTGGCTGAGGGGCTCCTGCCTGGGACCCCCTGGAGGACGCCGGGGGTGAAGGCGTCCTCTTTTCATCCGTCAGTCCAGCCACCTGGCCGGGCAGCCCGAGAGCTTCGGGCAGCTCCGGGGACAGGGCAAGGCCTACCTCCAGGCTGCGAGGGGTGGACGATGGACAGCAGGAGCAGGAGGACTCCGGGCCGCAGGGCTGTAGCTGTCAGACCCGCCATCTCGGGGAGAAATGCCCCAGCCCGCTCTCCGCGCCTCGTTTTATCCCCAAAGCGTAATTGCTGCCTCGTAGGCTGAGGGAAGGAGGGAGGGAGAGAGGGCGGGCGGGAGGGCGGGAGAAGGGGGAGGCCTGGGGGAGGGGGCTGCGGGGAGGGGGGCAATTACGAAAGGCCGGCTCCCAAGCCTCCCAGGCTGGGTCGGACTGGACTGGACTGTGGGCTTTTTTCCTTAAAACGCACATTCGCGCGCACGCACACACACACACACACACACACACACACACACACAGTTTCCCCCCATCGCTCTCTCTTTCCCTCTGTGGCTGTTCTCTCACTGCTGGCCCTGTTCCCGCCAGAAAGTGCGAGGGGGGCCTTTGCCAGGACAGCCCTCGGGAGAGGAAGCGGGAGGGAGGGCCCTGCAGCCCGGCCAAAAATCTGGCCCCAGCCAAGGCCTGAGTGGCCAGGCCCCCGCCCCTCTGGCTGGGCCCGGGGCCCAGTGTGGGGACACAGGCCAGCTGTCCCGCGCCTCTGCCCCCACCCCGGTCCTCCAGACTCCCCCAACACCCCCACAGACAGGCCCTGCCCAAAGCTGGGGAGGGAGGGTGTTGGGCAGGTCTGAGGTCTGGGGCCTGGGGCCAATGTCTGCAGAGGTCAAGGGGCAGTAGGCAGAACTGCCTGGAAGGTGAGATCCCGTAGGTGCTGCCCCGGGGGGGCATCTGGGGGAAGGCAGGGGGACCTGATGCACTACAGGGCTCCCTCCTTCCCAGGCTGAGGTCACAGTCTCCTTTGTGAAGCTGGGGAGAGGGCGTTGGGCAGGTCTGGGGTCCATGTCTGCAGAGGCCAAGGGCCTGCATTGGAGTTAGGACCACGCTGATGCTGTCCCCTGAGGCATCTGGGGGACATGTGGGAGACTCTGACACACCACAGGGGTTCCATTTGTCATGGATCAAAGTTGCAGTCCCACACACAGGCTTGTGCTGGGCAGTGTCTGGTGAAGTTCAGGCTGGATCCCCAAGTGCCTTGCAAGGGACCAGGGGGCTGCAGAGCCCACTCAGACTGACAGGTGGCCCAGCTCCCCTTTATCACTCGGGCCCCACCTTTCCCAACACTGAGCATCGCTGGCACCCAGACCTGACTTGGGAACCCCCAGATGCAGATTCTCATCCTGCCCCAGAACGCCGGGGGCCGACATCCCTCCAGTGGCCAGGAGGGGGCGGCTCTGCGCTGAAACAGCTGGGACCAGCATTTCCAGGACTCAGGCTGTTCTCGCCTCCCAGGGCAGGATGAGGACCCTGGGGAATTACTAGGGTTGAGGGGGCAGGAGAGGGTCATGCCTCCTCCCCCACCCCCTGCCAGCAAGTGGGGAAGAAATCTGGGAGGCAAAGGACAGGAGAGAGAAACTGGTACTTGCCCTAAGCGTGGCCTGTCAGGGGAAAAAGTCGAGGCCCTGTTCTGAGAGCATTTCCCCTACACCCAGACGGAGAATGAGGGGGCACACAGCATTGGCTGGCAGGAAAGGAGTTAAATGACCCCTCCTCCGGCCGGGAGCACTGTGGCCATCTGCAGGCCTAGCAGGGGTGTCCAGGAGCGGAGATGTCAAAGGCCAGGCATTGGACTCAGGTGTACCCAGGACTACATTCTGGCTCTGGCACTTTCTACGGGGACCCTTTCCTGGAGCTTCGGTTTCCTCATCTGTCAAATGGTGATAAGTTGCCATGCCTGGGGGTTCTTGCAGAGGTAAATAAAATGTGGTCTCATATTTCCACACCATGACTGCCAGATCCAAAATGCCCTGTACTTATTTGGTGCTGGTAGTAGTTCTGGTACCACTGTTACCACCACTAGTTCTTCAAGCACCACTCCTGTTTTTAGTGTGACTGTTAGGCTTGGCCCAACGGGGCCACCTTGGAACCCCGGGCCATCCCTTCCTCTTCCTGGTCTCAGGTGGCACGGCTCCAGGAGTTGGGAAGCAGGTGGGCGTGCCAGGAGGACTGGCTTGAAGCTGTGCGTTACTTCCAGTGTGTGTGATTTGGGGGTGCTTTGGGGGCAGCCGATGGAGATTATGAGCCTGAGCCAGCTTTTATTCATGGGGGCAGAGGCTGCTCAGGATCAGGGTCTGAGGCTCGGAGCCTGGGATGTGCCTGCTGCGGGGGAGGGGAGACGGAGTGCATCAGCGGGCCCAGCCCCTCCCGGGAAGTGGGAAGGCAGGGGGTGCTGGGGAGGAGCTGGGCCCCACTCCTCTCAGGGCAGTGACGTGGGCAGGAACCGACTTTCAGACTTGCAAACCGCAGTCTGCTCAGAGTCTTTATTAATTCCAGGACCTGGAGAGAGGCCGGAGCCAGCGGGAGAGGACTTGTTGCGGGGGATGCAGGAGAGGCGTGGAGGGGCGTTCACAGGAATGGACTCGAGGCTGCAGGGCCAGACCTCTCCCTGCAGGGCCAGGCCCTGAGTCCCACCCCCTCCCTGTGGCCCCGCTTCTTCTGAGCATCCCGTGCTCATTGCAGCAGCTCCATTAACTCCTATCCAGCAAGGCTCCATGCACCTCAGAAGGGAGCTGCAGTTCAGAATCGAACCCATTAAACGGATTCTCCAGTGCAATTTAACCCAACACGTTCAATACATAGCAGAAGGACTGGAGGTTACAGTTATTAACCAACACTTCATTCATTCATTCGTTCATTTGCTCATACATTCAAGAAACCCAACAGTCCTAGGCTGCTCTGTGCCCACCTCCCTGTGTAGCTGTACAGATTAAATCGGGTCATAAATGGAGAACTGCCCACAACACTGCCTGATGCACTGAATGCTGGGTGAGCGCGGCTTCACTGTGCTGGCCGGCAGGCCTCACTCGCCCACTCGCTGCTGGGCACCCAGGGGAGTCCCTGACGGGCTGTCTCTGTCCCCAGCTCCTCCAGATGCACCTGTTTAGGAAGGGCAGGGCCACCAGCCTCCACATGCCCTTGAGCATGTCATTGCTTTGCTCAGAAACCCTCATGTACCTTCCAGATAAAGTCCAGACTTCTCCGTATGGCCTCCAAGGCCCTGCATTACCCAGCTCGGCTGGCCTCCCTTCTGCCGGTGCAGCTGCTCCCCAGCCCTCAGACTTGTCCTGGAGGGCTGGGAGCTGGACCTCTGTTGGCGAGGTCCCCTGCTCTCAGCTTCCATCCCTGCGGGTCTGGGCCCTCAGCATTCCTGCCCCCCAGGCCCCTCTGAGGGCCTTGATCTGAGCCCCCTGGGTGGAGCTTGGGGGCCTCATCTGATTCCCCACTGGCCTGGCCGTCACTGAAGGCAGCTTGAGGATGGACCCGTTCCTGTCTCCCCCTTATCCGTGTTGACTAAGAAGCACAGATGTGCCCTCGAGGAGATGGGAGCAGAGGCTGCTGGCGTGGACAGACCTCCAGAATCCTGGGGCTGTGGTTTTTGTTTTCTCCCTCATCTGCACATGATCTTTTTATCTGTTGAGTGCGGGACGCGCTGTCTGCATGGAACCTTGGACCAGAGAGAGAGACAGGCGTGGGCTGCCTAGCTGGTCTGGGAAGAGCTTGGTGTCAGCCAGGCCCGGGACCCCCACCGTGCCCCTTCCCAGTGCGTAGGAGCCTCACTGTTAGTCATTTACTCCTCCGTGTGAGTGAGGGTCCCTCCGGCCACACCCAGAGGAAGCAAGGTCAGGGTCACACTGACGGGGCAGCAGGAATGTCTCATACAGACCCGAGTGAGGCTCGGGACAGAAATGAACACTGGTTGGCTAGCGTGGGTACAAGTGTAGACGCTCCAGGAGAGGATTAGCAGCAGGCAGCTTGAAGAACCCCTCTCCACACCTTCCGGATCCACCCGCCCTCTTCCGTGAGACCCAGCTGCAAACGTTAAGGCCGGAATCCGCCTCTCCTTGGATTTTAAATATTCTAGTAGCCGTGGAAAATAAAAGAAAACATAAGTAAAGTTAATTTTAATAACAGACTCTATTTTACTCAATATATCGAAAATATTATCATACCAGGCATGTAATTGATATAAAAGTGATTAGTGCAATATTTTGCATTCTTTTTAGTACTAAGTCTTAATACTAGTGTGGAAGTTATGCTTAGAGCGCATGTCGTGTGGACTAGTTGCATTTTGAGGGCTCAGTAGCCACATGTGGCCAGTGACCGCCAGGGTGGACAGCGCGGGTCGAGGCCATGCGGGGTCTGGTGAGGACGGGCCTGACTCACGATGAGTGAGGAGGAAACACCCAAGGATGGTTCTTGCTGCTCAAAGTTTACAGGAAGGATGGGGCAGGAGGGTGAGGGAGAGGGCAGGGAGGGAGGGAAGTCCTTGAGGGCGGCAGGGAGAGGCCTGGGGCACACCTGTGACAGGCAGCCCCAAGGGAGAGGCTATGTCCTCGTGCTGGTGACCGAGCCGGAGGGTAGCCGTCTACTGAGGGGCCCTGGGCAGTGGCCACCCAGAGCCAACGCTTTGTCTGGAAATTGAGGAAGGCCTTCTGCTGTTCGGCCCTCTGCAGAGGTGGCCAGGGACCACTCTGACGGCACAGGAAAGGAAGGGCCTGAATAGGGCTGGGTGTCAGGCTTCACCAGAGGTCGAGGGTCTGCAGCCGAGGACAGGCAGAGGCTGCTGGTTTGGGGCACTTCTGAGTCTCCCCTCATCATGCAGGGGCGGTTCCGAGTGGGGTTTGGAAGTCAGGGAGGGGCTGGGGTTACAGCACAGGGTGCTTCTGTGGCCCCCAGGCTGGGGTGCTAGAGGGCTAGCGGTCATCCTTGTGATAGGGATCAACACAATTAGTGTATGAGCCTGGGTGGGTCATCTAGTAACACTACCAGATAATGCTGACATCAACAGTAATTAATTCCTGGAAGCCCTCGTTTCCTCTTACGGAGACAGGGGTCTTCACAAGCCTTTAAGACTGAAAATTCACTTCTGTAAGGGTCTGGTATCCAACAAGCGCTCAAAGGCGAAATGGGGTCTTTGGTGCCATTTCAGGCAACCGAAGCAGGCGATTGAGGCTGGGAAAGGTTGGGGGGGGGCAGGAGGAAGCCCCCTCCCCAGCAGTGCCCTCCCCACGGCTGCCCCCGGACGCCCCAGCTCCTGAGCCATGCATCTCTGATC